GGTGGCCTGCCTTGCAAGCGCAAGGACCCGAGTTCAATCCCCAGTACCAAAAAAAAAAAAAAGAAAGAAATTGAGAGTGCAGCAGACTCAGGAGGAGGGAGGAGCCCTGGGGCAGGGCATGCATGCGAACTCTACCAGCAGGGAGAGGTAGGAATAGACCCCCTGAGAGCCTGCAGAAGGAGCGCAGCCCTGTGGACACCCTGAGTGCAGCCCAGTGAGACCATTTTCAGATGATGGGCATCAGCCATTCATCCGTCAACTGCTGGGCGCCCGCTGCCAGGCACCATGGTGGGCACTGGGCAGTGAGCGGTGAGTGGGACAGGGGAGAGGGTCTCCTTTCCAGTTTAGAAATAATCAGTATATAATAGCTGGGGTTGGCTCAGTGGCAGAGCACTGGCCTACCGGGCCGTGGTCCCATCCCCACCATTGCAAAACAGGAAAGAGAAAAGGAGAGAGGAAGAGACAGGGATGCAGGAAGGAAGAAGGAAGAAATAATTGGTGTAAGTAGCTGGCAGTGTTTGTCACTTCGTAAATAACAAGTAGTCATTCCCCCCAGGTCCTCTGGTCTCCATCCAACTCCCACCCCTCACTGTTCTATTCGCCACCTCGTATGCAGCCTGTGTCTTCTCTCCCTAGATGGGCTGTAAAGTCCTTCAAGACAGGTGCTGAGACAGGTATTTATTTTGTTTTCCCCTGGCACCCAGCGCAGGACCCGGCTCATTGTACTCATTAGCGAGTGATTGACTGGGCGCACACATGCGTGCACACTGCAGGGAGCCTCTGAATATGGAAGGAAATCTAGAAAAATTCCCAACTCAGACCCAGGATGATTAAGACGTGAGGCTGGCAGAGGGTTTCGGCATGCCCGAAGCGCCAAGGATGCAGTTGCCAGGGCCGTTCTCCCATCTCCAGGGAGAATCGGGCAGTTGTAATCACAGCAAGGTCAAGGTCACACCTGCAGAGCAGACACAGGTGTATCTGTCCCACTCACACGGAAGGAAGACCATGTTAGTTGGTAACTCAACGCAAGCGGTCACATCAGGACCTTCATTCCTAAATTGAACGACAAGACCCAGACCTCCAACAGAAAAATATCAAGAGATGTACAAGGTTCACAGGAAAGGATCCAACAGGCACCTGAGAAGATGACACAGGACTAGCATCTCACCCATCAGATGGGCAAGGAAGCAAGATTCTGATGATACGGGGAGGTGACAGGCATGAAGGAACAGGCTGGTTTGGCCTCGCTGGGTGACAACTTGGCATAATTTATTCAAGCGCCGCATGTAAAACCCAAGTACCCAGAGCTTTTATGGAGGGACATACGTTCAAAGCTGTTCGTGGCTCTTGGGTGTAACAGCAAAGATCGTTACTGAGGGTCTGGGGTGGAAGAGAGATTTTCCACTGTGTGCTCTTGTCAACTTTTTACATTTTGTTTAAATATCAGCCATTCAAAAATACAGAAAAATTTAAAATTCAGAGAAGCGTTGAGATTAAGGGGGAGGGGAGGGGCTAAAAACAAAGATGGAGCTGGGGGTGTGGATCAATGGTACAGCACTGGTTGGGCAGGTGTGAGGCCTGAGGGTCCCTCCCCAGCACAGGCCTGGGAGTTATAAAGACAAAGGTTCTGGAGATGGACAGGGATGGTGCAAATCACCAATGTGGATGTATTAATACCACTGAGCTGTATACCAAGAATAGGCACGATGTCCTAATCCCAGCACTTGGGAGGCTGAGGCAGGAGGATCACTACTGCATTCAGGCCAGCTTTGGCCACTTAGTGAGTTCAACGCCAGCTTGAACTGCATAGTAAGACCTTGTCTCAAAATAACAACAACAACAAAAAAAATAGGCAAGATGGTAAGCTGTGTCCTGTGTAGTTTACTACAATAAAAATATTTAAAAAGAAAGATGGGCACACAAATCTCAATCAGGAGATCAAACCCAGAATCCCCACTTGGAATATACTCTGCAAAGTTGCTAAAACTCAGGGGCCTAGACCACCTGATTTTTTTTTTTTTTTGGTTGAGACAGGGTCTCACTATGTAGTTGAGACTGACCTGGAACTCACTGTGTAGCCCAGGCTGGTCTCGAACTCACAGTGATCCTCCTGCCTCAGCCTCCCGAGTGCTGGGATTACAGGCGTGCGCCACCATGCCTGGCACCACCTGATTTTCTAGAATAGTTTTGATCAAATACAAAGTTATCTTCTTTGTTTTGTTTGCAGTACCTGGGATCAAATGACCTTGTGCCTGCAGGCAGCAACACCATTGAGCTAAATCCCCCGCCCATAAAGTCATCTTCTTAAAGGAAATTTATTAGATGAAAACCTAAACTGCCACTTAATTTTTAAAATGTAAATAAATTCAAATTTAAGCAAACTGTTAATTTATATAAAAGCAATCATGATTTTAAAAAAAACTACTTTTTTTTAGAGACAAGATCTTGCTATTTAGTCCAAGCTGACCTTGATATCACTACATGGTCCAGGGTGGCCCAAACTTCCAGCAATCCTCCTGCCTCAGCCTCTGAGTACTGGGATTAAAGATGTCCACTACCTTGCCTGGTTCCAAAAATACTTTGTGAACCCAATTTTTCTCTTGCTGAGGGGCACTGGTTGCTGCTCATCACTGGGACGTGGCACAGGCGCAGTGCTCGGTGTCTTGTGAAGAACAAGGTGATGGGTGAATTGCACAGAGGCGAGTTGTCATTCTGCATTCCAGACACCTTCAAGATGACAGCTGCTCAATGCCAGCACTCTACCAGTATGATGGCCCAACTGATCACACTTTTTCCCAGGGCATTTCTGCTTTTGTTTTGTTTTGTGTTGGTATCGGGGATCAAACTCAGGACCTTGCACTTGGTGAGGTAGGCAGCAGAACCACTGTGCTAAATTCCCAGCCCTGTTTTGTTTTGTATTGGAGACAGTCTTGCTATGTAGTTCAGGCTGGATTTGAACTCACTGTGTAGCCCAGGCTGGCCTAAAACTCACTGAAATCCTCCTGCCTCAGCCTTCCGAGTGCTGGGATCACAAGCGTGTGCCACCACGTCAGGCTCCTGATCTTTCTCATGAAGTAAATAACAAATACCATAATGTAAGAAAATGGTTTTATTCCTAATTTTTAGTTCCATACAGTTTACAAATACACTTTTACTCTGATAATATGGCTTTGCAACTAGCAAAGCAATTGAACTAACACCCATAAATACAGGTGGGAAGACAACATCCACTAATGTTTCTCTACATAAACTATTCTTTTAACATCATTTTCTAAAAAAAAACCAAACAATTGCAAATAGACTACATAATATACGTGGGCAAAAGGCAATTAAGTGAATCTCTTGAAACACTACAAGTATAATAAACAGCATATTATCAACATTTACATGATTCACATCAAAATGATGACATCCTAAAACGTATTCCTTTTAAAGGACAGATTTATCAATAAAATATTACATATCTTTTAATACTCTGGTACAATACTTCATACACTGCAGGAAAATTAAATGTAAGTCTATTCATCAGCTTAATAAAGGGTCCTTTTCCATTAGCTTTTATTAATGAAAGAGTTACAATTAGGTCATAAATAAACAGGCAAATTATTACTTACATGATTTGAGGTTTAGGATGAAAACTTGTAAAAATTAGTTTGATAGACAGCAAAGTTATATGACACACTAAAACCAACTGTTTGATATTTGTGCCTTGTGTGAATTGCCCATAGTGAACAAAGGAATAAGCTTTTTAGTGATGGAAGATACAATAACTATGTTTGAGAACTTATTTTTCAAGAGGAAGAGGGAAAAAGACTTCAACAAAATTAAGGGCTAACAGACCCTAAGAAAGACATCTTCCAACCAGGGAGGCTCACGTGCTCGCTATGTTACGCTTTACTGCCCTGCCCACCCACAGAAGACAGGGCCTGCAGTGGGCTTACATTTATCTCCGGTCTCAGCGTCCCTGGACGGTGACTACTCTACCACACAATGCCTCACAGCCGCGTCCCTTTCCATATTCCCCTGACCCCGGATGTCGTGTTAGCTCTTAAAATCCCCAGTAAAATAATCCCTAAAAAATAATCTTGACCATTTGCTTGACTGTTATAAAGCAGCTAGGCTCTGTAAAGAAGGCAAGGATATCAAGAGAAGTCCTATACAGTTTCCCACCCCATTTAGCCATGTTGGAAAAGTCATTAATTGCAATGAGGCCCACACACTGGACACGAGGGGCCTTTTAAAAACAAAGAACAAAAAAGCTAGTAAGACTCTTGAAATCTGGCTTTGAAAAAAACACCCCAATACCATATGCCAGATAATTTCTTCACCCCAAATATAAAAACCCTAGGTTTTTAATTATAAAATAGCCAGCTATGGGATACTGTGCACATTTAATACCCACCAACAACCTGGAGTAGACTCCACATGGGTACCAAGCACACCTGTTTTCCAGGTAACCGGATTCACCTCCTACTGACTGCTTGGGCCCTGGGCCCTCTGACATCCTCATGAACCATCTCTTTGGAACTTTCATTTCCATTCTTTCTTCAGCCGCACATCTTGAGCTATCCCCATCTTCCCAGCCCCACTGCCTGATTCTTCCACACACAGAGCAACCACACCTGAAAACCCACCACCACCTTTACCACAAGACAGACCGAGCAACCTGGACACTCTTGTGAATCTGGTCCTGGCATTAGTATCTTTAACAATGGGATGGTCTGCTGACCCTGTGGAGGGAAACCGAAGTGAAATCAACGTGCTGTAAAAAGCTTGCCAAGATCAGGTATTTCCATCCTGAGTGCAAAAACCACCGATCTCCAGCTCCAGGGAGAGATGTGAATACAGCAGATTTCTTTGTACAATTAAACCCTCTATGCTGGTGAAAGACTTTGCCCCTGAAGTCCAGAGTCAAAGCATAACCACAAAATCAAAAATGATTCAATGTGACAACGCAGTAAAAAGAACAGGATGCAAGAGCCTGGCTGCAAATACTGAACTGGAGTCTCTTCCTTTGTAGGCTTGACAAGAAGACAGGAGTCATTACCTCCCCTAGTAAGGTGGCACCTTGAGGCCACACTTGTGCTCTGAAACAATTGTGCCTTCCTGCATGTGGGAATCACACATTTTATCTATGACAAAGGCAGTCACTGCACGCCCCCAGCTATTCTGGCTTTCCAGAGAGTGGAAGGTGGGGACTAGTCCTTCATCAGGAGCCACACCAAGAAGGATCTGAGTAAGGACACAGGGCGCATTACTATCATTACAAAGCCAGCCCATAAAGTTTTCATCGAAATATTCTCACTGAATTATGACTGAACAGGAAGCAAAGGGGGATGTCTTCAGAGAAGGCACTTAAGGTAGAACCTACTGGTTCCAAAAAAATGGGCTCATTCAATCTGACAAGAGGCCTGATTCCAACTGCTCCTCACTGTGCTGACTGTGCATGCGGGCAAGGCCTGACTGAACCAGGGGCGTCGAGAAAGCATCACCCTGGCCAAGGGCTGCAGGGGCCGCAAAGATGGATGGGATTGCTCCGCTTTCAAATGCCGTCCCCCTTCCTTACACAACACCATCCCTTCCAGACCAGTTTCCCCGAGTGATAGTTCAGGAAGTAGGTTCAGCCCTCTCCGAGCTGGCTCAGAAGCTTCTGGAAGGCCCTCTGTCCATTTCTCATCTGACACGCAGCTTCGACCAGTTACTGCGAACAGCTTCAGCTTCCCACGGTCACAGCTGCCTCTGCTCGCGCTCACCAGAGCTGTTTCCATGGCATGGGCTGTGGCTGCCCGTCAGACCTCTGGCCCCATGAACTTCACCTCCACTGCACACCTTCTTCATGAGCTTTGTGTCACTGATTATGAGCCATAGGAGGGGGCTACGGCAGGCCTAGGCTTATGTCTGAAGAGGGCCTGGGCACCTCTGCCATGTAAAAGTCTTCACGCTCACCTGGCAGGTGATGCAGAGACCACATGGAGGAGGGACCCTAAGGACTCCAGCCACCTGCGTCTCAGCCAACCTGTCAGACACACGAATGACCACGCGCCAAGACAGAAGAACAATGAATGGGGGCGGAGGTCAGCAGCCCTGGAAAACCAAGACCTTGGCCATCCAGATGCCCGTTGTCTAAACACAAGACAATTACTGAAATGCAAAGAAAGCAAGGCACCTGTTTCCCATCACAACCCTCTCTCAACAGCTGAGTGGCAGGTGGTCATCTGCTAAGAAAACACACCTGTTATCCTGCTTCAGCCATCTCTCTGATTTATTCCCCGTGACTTTGCAATGGCAGAATGGCAATACAAAGGCAGGCAGTCATGAGACACTGGCCTCGTGATCATTCAGCACCCCAAAAAAGGAAGCCACCAAAGTGAACTGTCTACTGCTAAATGCCGTGGTTAAATGTGTCCCCAAAGTACGCACATTTGAGAAGAAACCCCAATGCCACAGTGCTGAGAAGTGGGAGCTGTCACGGGAGACTAGGTGGAGGGCTCGGCCACAAGAATGGGTCCACATCTTCTCGGGGGTGCTATAAAGCGAGCCCTCAAGCTGTCTTCTCCCCGTGATGCTTTCGGACAAGTTATGGTGGAGCTAGAGGCCCTCATGAGACATGGCCCCTTGACCTTGGGCTTTAAGCCTCTAGAACTGTAAGAAATAAATCTGTTCATTATAAATTATGCTCTCTATGTTCTGTTAGGCAACACAAAACAGATTAAGACAATAAGCGATGATAAATGAAATCATTCTCACTTCTCAAGGATGTTGTTATTTAATTTTTCCAAATCATTTCTTGCTTCAAGTGCCCCTATCATCCCAACAAAAAAAACTTTAAAATGGTTAAGGTTATTCAAAGAAAAAAGACATTTTCATAACTAGAATTTGAATCCCCATAATCTATAAAATACAGAGCACAGTTTGACTGCTTCAATTTAAAACAAAGCTCTATAAAATGTAACATTTTCTACATTGTAGAGATGATTTCTTCTTATCTGAGGAAATGCTGAACTGGAATACAATGGTCTTTCAATGGTTTCAAATTTTGCTTATCAAAAGGTAGTCAGCCACAGTGTGAGTCTTCCATGTCCAAATTCATTCTTCACATAAGCTCCCTTGCACATCTGTTCTTCATATTTTTGGGGGAAAAGGTGAAAGTCCACATCTGGGGAAGAAGTAAGTTAGAATTTTTAAGGAGAATGATCTAAAAAGCTTGGTAGAGCGTTCAGTTGTTTATGTGTGTAAGTGTGGTGCTGAGAATTGAACCCAGGGCTTTGCACCCTTAGGCAAGCACTCTACCACTGAGCCATACTCACAGCTCTGGACTATTTAAAGATACATTTGAAGGAGGCTGGGGATTTAGCTCAGCGGTTTGGTGGCCTGCCTTGCAAGCGCAAGGACCCGAGTTCAATCCCTGGAAACAAACAAACAAACAAAAAAAAAGATACATTTGAAGTTTCTGGGTTTGGGGTACCAGGGACCAAACCAAGGGCCTATACACTAGGCTTCATCCTCAGCTCCCATCCCTTGTCTTTTGAGATACAGTCTCCCTAAGTCACTAAGTTCCCGAGGCTGGGCTCAAACTTGCAATCTTCTTGCCTCAGCACCCCAGTGCTAGGATGAGTATGTGCAACCACACCCCACTGATTTGAAGTTTTTAAACATGCAGCTATAGAGATGGAAATTTCAATATGAAATAAAGACACCATACAATCCTCATTCATCATTAAGACACATATCACATACTTGCACCCCAGCTGGCAGAGATGCAGAGCTGACTCAGGCAGAGGCCGGCACGCCAAGTCTCATAGCCACTTGGGAAGAGAACTCGGGTATCCTGAGCCCCACCACCTGGAACAGTGTCCCTGTGCTCCCAGATGCCGACAGATCGTCTGGCACAACCAGGTAAAGCAGACCTCATGAAAACTGCAGGAAAGGTGACACCCGCGCTTTGCCACCATAATCAGCTGATTCCTGGACTGAGTACTACTACCTTTCTCCTCACAGGGTTAATTCTCCCATCCAAGGGCACAGTGAATTGTGTATGTCATTTTAATGCTTAATGAACCTGTAAACTAAATCGACTTGAAGAAAGAAGTACAGGGTGATGAGAAAGGGGGCTGGGTTGCAAAACTCAATTGTGGCACATCTTTCAGGGATGTTCACAAATGACTTGCCTGCTTTTAAAGGATGGAAATTATATAGACAGGCCACCGAGGGAGCAGTGGCACTGGCATACCTGTCTCAGTGCTGAAGTCGCGGCAGGACTTCTCATCTGAAGCTCTTCTGCTGTTGCATCAAGCCCACGTTCTCATAGACCCGGGCACTGTCTTCTCTCATTCTGCACAGAAAGGAAAAGGGAAGCGCCAGCTTACACGACATTCACACAGCACACACTACCTCCTGTGAGTCCCTTCCTGCCCCCAGGAGCCGGCGCTGTCGGAAGGATGTAAGACACAGATGTACAGCACTATCACAGTGACATGGAAAGGGGCCGGGGGCAGGCGGAGGTGTGGGAGAAGCAGGCTATATTCCAGGTGGGCAGGACTAGGGGGGGCCCTGCAGGAGGCACCAAGGCACTGCCGAGGGGTGGGACATTACACACAGAAGGGAGCCCTCATCGCTGCCAGCAGAGGGCTGGGTACAGGCGAGAGCACTGAGGCAGGAAAGTCAGGGAGCAGCTGAGCAGTGATCAATCAGCCTCAGCCCGGTCCTGTGAAAGGCAACAGGCATTTTATCACCTACGCTGTTGAGTTTTAACAAGGAGCCCAGGTTTCTGCTAGGTATGGAGGGCTGATCACAGTGATCCCAGCTGACAGGAACCCTGAGCTGTGGGTGCCAGCCCGACGGGGGCTTTGGGACAGCAGAAGCAGAGAGCCTGTCTTAGGCCAGCCCACTCTGTCCCTCGGCATGAGAGGAAGGCTTTCTGGTGCTCTGGCTCCGTTGCCAACAAAATTACTGCAGATAGCAATTTAAAATATCAACTTTCCCAGTCAGCCCACTGGGACAGAAAAAGCAGGCAGAAGGAAGGGGCAACTTGGAGGAGAGAAGGCTTCTGCTGCATAATCTCATTTCAATGCAAACAGAAAGCCAAGGTAAATACAAGCCTTTATCTGTTCTCTGAAACATTTAGATACAATATTAAAGTCAGGAGGGCTTTAAAAATCCACATCAGGAGCAAATAGAGACAAGACTCTTAGGGGAAAATAAAAAGTAAATGTTACACAAAAAGGTGCCTTTAGAATACATAGAAAGATAATAACTTAAAACTGCTATTCGCATGATCAATTTAACAAATGTTTTCCTACAGTGTTTCAGTTTAAACAAGGAGTTGACAAAAGTTTTTCAGGAAGGAATCAGTTTAGGCTCTGCAGACCATACATGATTGCCGTCACCTATCGCTCTTTGAAGTTTTGTTCTGTTTTTCAATTTGGCCTGGGGACTGGAGTTTGCTGACCCAAAGCAGATTTTGGCTGACTGCTGGAAAATCAGCAGACTGGATGCGCTGACAGGTTACCAGCTAATTTATTTACCTTATTGAACAAAGAGTCTCAGAGCATCACAAGGGATGTTACCGCCCCCTGCAACAACCCTCGCCCCTGCACAAGGGAACTCCGATTCTCCACCATCCCAGTCAGCACAGAGCCAGGCTTCAGCGTAGGGAAAGGAAGATGTGGCATCGGCTCAATCCAGAGCAGCTCCCTTGCCGCTGGATGATGATAACGTGCACCGGGGAGAGGCCTGGCTGCAAAACTCGCGGCTGATGTTGTCATGAAGCCTTTTTACAGCACTGGGTCTGGGTAAAAAGAAATTCCTTCGTTGCTACTTACTCCGCACAGGCTGGTGTTGGCGTACACGGCGGAAGGGGACTCTGATCGCCGCTTGCCTGGTCCGCTAGGGAATACTTAATGTTGGTGTATTCGTGCCCTTTCCTCTTGCTTTTCTGGAAGAAAGGTGGAAAAGTACAAACACGAGGGACTGGACTTTTTGTTTAAGGAATAAAGAAACAAAAATGGCATTTGACCAAGTGTAAGGGAAAAAAGACAGGTCAGACCCTCGAGATCACTGATTTATTGGCCACACGGTTAGGGAACTAAACTCCTCATTGTAGATACACCGCATGGGCAAAGTCCGTTTGAACCACACAATCCAAAAGCACAGAGCCAGGCACTCATTCACCACTTACTGTACTGAACCAAACACACCTGAGAAGTCACACTTCCTTCCCCATATTAGCATTAATCATTTCAGAATTCATTTGCAACCCTTTTAATGATTTTCAGGTAAAAAGGTGGGAAAAGAGCTCCAAAAATAAATTCACTCCAAGTAGAAATGACACACAGGCCCGAGAGTCGGCAGCGCTCTTACCAGACACAGTAACGTGCTCTGCCCCATCTCCTTCACCCCAGAAAAAAGACTCAGCACCTTTAAACTTTGTGTTCTGATGATGCCTAGGGGTGAGGGGGGGCACAGAAAACCTGCAGAAATATAAACTCATGTCAAATATGGGGCAGAGACTATATTTGGTGGGACTTCTGGTTAGATAATTTATCACCCTTCTCTATTCCAATATTCACCTACAAAGAGCTGAAAATCTAATCCATCAAATAAGCGTCATTCTTTAATGTCGCATTCGTTCCAAGGCAGCTCAGGAAAGTGCAAACAGCAGGAAGGGTTCCCACAGCACACACTGACATCCACCAGCAGCCGGAGGGTAAACGGGTACCACCACCTAGGTACACAAGGGGTTAGTAGAAGTCATACTAAGTACTCGGTAGTTAGTAAAAATCAAAAGGCATAGATCTTCCAAGCCTGAGCGCGTACTTCTCAATGAGAAGCCCTCATACACGCGGCGCAGGGCCGGGCAAGGGAACAAAGGAGTCTGATGCAGGCACAGGGGTGGAACAATACGCGACAGTGAAGAGGAAGGACAAAGATGAGCGTGTGCAGAAACAGACTTCGTAACAATGAGCAGTGGAGAAGCGTGAGCTGCACCACAGGAAGACAACAGGTATCATCTGGGTAAGTGTTCGAAACATTAAACAAGCTGCAGTTTTAAGATATGTGTATTTGTACTCTAAAACACATAGAGTCAAGAGTACTCTCAGCTATACCTGCTAAATTAACTAGCTTCCTCTTAAAAGAGCAAAAAAACTTGAAAGAAACGTGGCAAAAATGCTCAATTCTGAGTTGTAGTACTGTACTTTTAAAGTTTTCAAAATTAAGCATGAAGCTATGAGATTTAAATCCACCAGGGGCATCTCTTTCCTCCCCTACTCAAAAGTCACCCAAACCAACAGCTAATCAAAAGTGGGAAATCTCTACAAATAAAGCGAAGGGACTGTTTCCACCCCGATCTATGCTTAAAAGCCTCCTGGTTTATTTGGGGAGGTAAAAGTTTTTAAAGTGAGTATGTGCAGCGTTACAGGAAACACAAACTCAAGAAGCAAAGTGCACAGTCCCTGGCAGTCACGGGCTGTGCTGTGCGACAGAGGCTCGCTTCTGGCGTCTCGGCTTTAGCATCAGCAAACCTGCACAGTGCAGAGAGGCAGCTGAGGCCTGACACAAACACGCTCAGCAGCAGCAGGAAGCAGAAAGCCCAGGAGGTTGGAGTCACAGACGTGAAAGGCCGTGAACCTCACCAAGGTGAGACCTGGGACACAGGTGTGCAAGGTCAGTCCCTGGGGGCTGGGGTCACCGCGCAGAGCTCCTGTGCACCTCATTCTGAAGGCTCTTTCTGCTGTTCACGCCCCCCAGCTGGCCACAGCAGATGAGGTAAAGGACAGGGAAGAGGGAGCTTCTTACCCCTCCGAAAGGAACACTCACCCTGCATATCTGCAGAGCCACACCTACAGATTCAACCATCCGCAGATCAAAAATAGGAGAAAAGACATCTGCACTGAACACAGACAGACCAACTTTCTTGTCATTTCCTACACAATACAACTATTTACATAGCGTTTACACTGTGTCAGGTAGCGTAAGTAATCTTGAGATAATCTAAAGAGTACTGGAGATGTGTGTGGGCTCCGCACAAACACTATGCCATTTTACATAAGTGACAGCGAGCACCTGCAGATTGCTGGCTCCCCTTCCCACACTGGGAGACAACTGTACTCTGTAGGGGTCCCACTGATCCCAGAACACCAAAACATGGACATGCTCCACGGCAAAGGTAACGAAGCATTTGAGTGAATAAATGTGAAGAAAGCTGTAAATCTCTGCAGCTCTCCTTCCCCATTCTGCACTGGGTGGACAATCAGAAAACCAGCACAGGGCCCATATAACACACCGTTTTAAGGGCATTACTTACTTTTTGCCAGGCACTATTTGAATATATTATCTCACTATAATCTTCATGATGCCTTCTGAAATAGATGCTTTTATTGACCCCATTTTAAAAGTGAAAAAGGATGCAATATTGTAGGCAACGCCCTTAAAACAGTTGTTGGCAAAATAATAGCAAGTGTGATGAATCTAGCCTGGGGTCTAGATTTTTAAGGGCTAAAGATTAGAATACTTTTTACAATTTTAAAGTGTTTTAAACAAACAAAAGCAACATGCCCTGGAACACACAAGGCTCATAAAGCCTCCATTTTCACTCCCTGAGCCCTTACAGGAAGCATCTGTCGACTCCTACATTAACAGTCTCGCCCTCCACGTCCTTGTGCTTTCTGCAACCATGCAAAAAGGGAGCACGCTAAGGGACAATGGGGTGACCAGTGCACCTAGGCTCCCCTTCCCCAAATGGCATGACAGCTCAGATTTTTATGCAGGAGAGAAATAAGCTTCTTTCTTGTGTAATCTACTGTTATTTAAACTCTGTTAAAGCAGCCAAACCAACTCCATAAGTGATAAAGCAGTTATCATAGAACTTAAAGTTCAGGAAAAGACTGCAGTATAGAAATCTAAGGTGAAAATATCTTAATGTTGACAGTTTAGAAATCTTCTGAATAATCTTTTTTTTTTTAAATTAAGGCCCTGTGGGGACGGGAATTTAGCTCAGTGGCACCCCGCCTCCCTCTCAAGCACAAGGTCCTGAGTTTGATCTCTGATACCAAAACAAAACAAAAACTAAAGAAAGACCTGACAAGAAAAAAATATGAGAAAAGGAAAAAATGGAAACAAAGTCTTTGTAAGTAGGAGAGGGTGGAGGGGGTGAAAGGAGGACAGGAGTATGGGGAAAAAATGAGAACCAAGATCTGTCATGTAAAGGTACAAGATCCCAATGATGAATGGGACTGTACTATATACCTAAAATGTACCAATAAACTCAGTAAGATTAAAACAAAACAAAACAAAAAAACAAAACTAAAGACCTTATGAATAATCACTTTTGAAAAGAAGCCACAGGCTCATAGCACTGAAATCTAAGTGAAGATGTAAATGAACACAACATTTAGAAAAAAACAATATAATTTCAAATTAAATATTAAAGGTCTATGAGGGTAGCTCAGTGGTAGCCCTAGGTCCATGCCCCAAAATTCACCCAAAGCAAAGAAAATTAAAGAACTGGTAGAATATTATTTTAAAACTTATTCTAAAGTTTAAATAGCTTAACTCATTCTTAAAATATATAATAAAACTAAAGAGCAAACTTGATTACTCAATATTGTTTTTTTTAAATTACGATTAAAAATACACAGCATAAGGTCTAATAAAAAGGTAGGGCGGGAGTAGGGACTGAACCGGGGCTGTGTGCATACTAGGCAAGTGTTCCGTTAGCAATTTTTCGTGTGAGGATCGGGGGACTGGAGATTCAAAGGCTTCACACTAAACTACATCCTCTGCCCCCTCCCTTTTTAAAAACTTTTGAAATAGAGGGCAGGAGATTTAGCTCAGTGGTACCGTCACCTGCCTCGCAAGCACAAGGTCCTGAGTTCAATCCCTGGTACCAAAAATTTTTTTAAATTTTGAAACAGAGTCTCACTAAATTGCTAATTTGCTCAGACTAAGCTGGAACTTGTCATCCTTCTGCCTTATTCCCAGTGTGCTCGGACTTACAGACATACACCATTGCACATGGTTCCCTCAGTAAATTTTTAAATGTACACTACAGGATTACTAACTCTATACACATTGTTGTAGAGCAGATCTCTGGAACGTTCTCATCTTTCATTACAAAAGACCGACTGACAGAAACAGCTCTTTTCTCCTCCTTACTAAATATGTTCTTTGTTTTGTTTTTGGTACTGGGGATCGAACATGGGACCTTGCACTTGTGAGGCAGGCGGCAGAAGCACTGAGTTAAATCCTCAGCCCCAAATATATTCTTGAAAACCAAAATTAGTATTTCTTAACGAAACAATTAGAATTTTCTAAAGAGGATTAATTAATACAAATAGAACAGGAACTATTTCAACGACTCAAAGTAACCCAAGCAAAAGCATAAAAATGTTGGCGGCTTTTAGCTTATTTAGGGAGAATAAGAAATAAAACCGACTCATAAATCAGATGAACTTGTCTCTGTACTCTGTCTGCCCCAGCTGTCTCTTAGATCAAGAAAAAAATCTCAGATGAGATGAGTTGTTCAGTTTCATTTTGGGGAGGGTGGAGGCTGAGGCTTAGAAAATAATTGGAAGTTGGTCTATCCTCCATCTGAATTCAGTGACATAGCATGGTTACTAAGCCTCCTGCTGCAAGGCTGATAATAAATCTCACAGCCTTGCCAACTGACAGACAAGGTTAAAAGGAGGGATCCACCCCAACACTCCACGTGAAGTAACACTGGTTAAGTTCTTACATGTTAAATCATAAAATTCCCAAAAGCCAAGAGCAGGGAGGGTGCGATGCCTTGTGTCTAGAGCCCCTCCAAAGCCTCAAGTGATCAAGGTGAGGATTTTCAGAGGTGGCTGGATCTGGAGTGCGGCCTGATTCATAGTGCAAGGCTAGGATTAAGAATGTGAGTGATGGGGCCGGGGATTTAGCTCAGTGGTTCCACTGCCTGCCTAGCAAGTGCAAGGTCCTGAGTTTGATCCCCGGTACCCAAAATAAAAGAATATGAGTGCTATCGCTTAGCCTTTTGGCTAAGATCAGGTGAAGAATGTGAGTGCTACTCAGCCCCTAAACCTGGATAAGATACAAGGGACAGAAAGAAGCCTGTGGCTTTTTTGCTTGTAGCTCACTTGCTTGGTGCCTTCTGCCTTCTATCTTCTGCCTGTGGTGGACCACTTGTCCTCTGTGATGCCCCTCTGCCATGCACCCTGCCTTGGAATCAGCCAACTATGGACTGAAACCTCAACAGACTGAGCCAAAATAAACCTTTCCCCTAGCTTTGGGTGTCGGGTATTTTGTCTCAGAAACAAGAAAAGTAACTAAGACAGAGAGAAAAATGAAAATTATCCTGTCGAGTAACAAGATCGCTTGGCCAGTGTGTTCTGCGTTCAGGATTGCAGATACCTCAGCTCCTGCTACAGTTAATCTCAAAGATGGACTGGTCCTACTTGTCCCCAAGGTCATCACCAGACCTGCCCGGCCTCTGCAATCCTCCATCAGTTCCCATCGGCCCAGCCGTGGCTGCCCAGCCTTGTGTCCCCCAGTTCTTCACCCTCAAGCCAGGTCCTTTTGAGTTACCCCTGTGCTTCAAACCACTCAATCACTTCCCACCTCCAGAACAAAGTCTAAATTCCTTAGTATGGCCCACAAACCAAGTGAAAATATGGTTTCTGCTTCCTCACCAATCCCACGCATCACACCCCACAGTACCATCCGAGACTCAGCAACACCCCTCCTGGACTTCTCTCCTTCTTAGGACCACAGCCACTTTCATTCCCGACCTGGCACATGCCTGTCACACTGTCCAAGCTACTTTATGGACAACAGAATGAACGGATGTGAAAAGGTCTTCACTGGCCAAGGAGACCGAGAAAGACAAGCAGGACATGGGGGGCACGGTCCCATGTAAACAGATGAACCTGGCAACAGCCATGCCTGACCCACTGACTGCCATAGCCTGAGCATCCACCAGTGGCTGCTATGCACATGTAATTATTAGAGGAACACCAAACAGCAAGGAAATGTTTAATAAAATATAAGCAGCTGAATGGTTAAGTGTCACACCAGGCCAGTTTGAGTCTTGATTAATTCAAGTTGCAGCAGCTTAAATGTAGCCTGAGCTATCGCATTTCTGTCCAGGCTCTGTAACGTGACTTCTGCATGACTTACTCCGAGGGAAGGCTGCTCTAGTCACAGTACCCTGCAGCTTAAATGCCACTTCCTATAAGGATGTGATTATCTCCTTCAAAGAAAAGTTCTCTGCTTGCTAAGTTTCATTCTCACAGGAGTACAGGTTAGCAATTCTGAAACTACTTTACATATGGAGCAGAGCCGAACAAATGAGTGTGTTAAGTTGCAGATAAAGGGAGTGAAGTTTCTCCCCGTAGACAAAAAGACTATAAATGAGCTGGGAGGAAGCAGAATGGACACTGAGGTACTGGACTGCAGTCAGAGACTGCACGAACTCGTGTCCAACATGCACATAGATAGATCCGGAAACAGAGAGACCCACGCATGCACACACACAGGCCTGAGTATGCAGACGCACTGTCTGCTCTGGCTGCCCAGGGGTACAAACACCCCGGCCGGCCGGCCCTGGTTTCTAAACAGCATCTCTAAGAAAAGGAAGTGGAAGGACCTCACGAGAAAACTGATCGATTCTGCGGTTGTGGTAGGGACAGTGTAAGATGAGCCTGGGGCATCCTGCAGTGCCAGCCAGTCAGGGAAACTCAAAAACAAAAGGAGAATTCAGTGTCACAGTTCAGGAGTCTACTGAAAAAATTCCCAAAGGCCAAAGCTGCAACAATTCAAGCAAAAACATAAATAGCATAATACTAGATTATAAGACAAAGTATGAAATACGTATCAATGGGTCTATACTGGTATAGATGCCTAAATAGACAGGTAGACAGACAGAGAGACAGGGGACAAATCTTCCTTATACAGATTCTAAGTAACTTATGTGGCTACCACCCATTCCAGAAGATACAGCTTAATTCCAATTCCTTCAGTATGGCTGGGACTAACTGATTCATACCACAAATGTTGGTAAAGGTGAGGAGAAAATTCTTTCACATTATAGGTGGGAACCTAAAGTGGTTTACCATTATAGGGAAAAAGATGGCAGTTATTTAAAATATGAAAGTAGTAACTATCCTATGATCTAGCAATCCCACCAGTGGGTAAATATTTAAAAGAAATGAGATTGTGTGCTATCTCTAAGAGATACCTACACTCCCATGTTCACTGAAGCATTATTCACAAGAGCCAAAATTTGGAACTAATCTAAGGATCCATCAATAGATGAATGCATAAATAAAATGAAGTGTATACAAACAGTGGGATATTATTTGGATTTAAAAAGAAGGAAAAATCTATTTCCAACAACATGGAGGAACCTAGAGGACATTATGTTCAGTGAAATAAGCCAGAAATAGAAAGACAAATAATTCATAATCTCATTTATATGTTAAATCTAAAAAAGCTGGATTCACAGAAACAGTGATTAGAGAGCAATGGTTACCAGGGCTTGGTTGTGGAAAACTGGGGGGACTTTGATCAAAGAGTACAAACCTTCAGTTATACAGTGGGTAAGTTCTAGGGCCTACTGTACAATGGTGACTGCAGTTAATGTAGTATGTGCTTGATGCCTTCTAAGAGACGAGATCTTATATATTCTCACCACATACAAAAATGCTACAATCAGGCAAAAAAAAAAAAAAAAAAAAAAAAAAA